TACCGTGCGATCATACAACTCAAGGTGCTCGTTCGCGGCGATTGCTTCTATGATCCTTCTGATACCTGTGGCTGTTGAAAAGTTGGTTGAGCCACCGGCAGCAGTATCTATGAGCTGTTTCGTTTTGAGTCGTAATCCATTAACAAAGTTTTGCATCTGCTCCATGGCGTCCAGGTTATGAGTAGGACATGCTGTAAGACACCTCTTAAACCGCTTATATGCATCCCCTAAAGATTCTCCTTCTTTTTGCTTGAAGTTGACAATGTCGTATCTTTTTCGGATGAACACTGATGCAGGGAAATACTCATTCAGGAACGCAGTTTCCATCTCTTGCCATGTTGTGATACTCCCAGCGGGAAGCGAGTAAAACCATTCTTCCGCATCATCAGTGAGTGTGAACGGGAACATAACTAATCTCTTAGCCTCTTTGGAATGGCCTTCTATTTTCAGCGAGGTGGTGGTTGTGAGGAATCTCTGAAGATGTTTATTTGCATCTTCGTTGATTCTTCCGGCGAACGGCTTGCTCTCCAACTGACGGATGGTGGAAGGGTGTAGCTGAAAATGTGCAACATTCACCGGTTGATTCACAATGGTCATCCGGTTCGGTTGAGCATTGGCCCCTCCATAGTCTCCTAGCAGTCTTTCAGGCTGAGGTGGATTTCCAGCCATTTGAACAGTCTCAGGTGGTGTCTCTCTCTCCTCGGAGTCGCTCTGCACGGATATAATTTCCTCTATTTCTTTCAGTCTTTTAACTTTAGCTAATCTCCGTCTTTCGTGTAATGCTCGTTCTGGTTCTGTATCAAAAGAATATTTAGCTGAGGCCTGACCTCGCATACACAATTAGACAAGCGTTAGATAATAAACGGATAAAAGTAATGCAGTAAACAATAAAATTTTAGTCGCAAAGCAACAAAATTTCTTTTGGATTCTAAACACAATGTTAATTTGGCAGTCCCCGGCAACGGCGCCAAAAACTTGATCGGGAAAATAGCAAGTGTACTATTTTTACCAATCGTAGTAATAAGGGAAACGTCCCAAGTATCGATCTCGAGGACTGCGTAGTAATTAACAGAATTTTCAGAATTCAATTGAACAAAAGGTCTAGTGGTTTGTTTGGTAGCAGAGTAATCTCACAGTAAAGACGAACTGAATTAATTAATCTAAGAACAGTGTTAGGGGAGTGGAGACAATACGAGTGCAGACTCTGTATGATTATTCTACTTTACTCGTTATTAACCTTAATCTATCAGTTGGCCACTTTAGTTGCCTTAATTCCTTAATGGCAACCCTTTGATGATTTTCCTGTTCACTAATTCCTCAGTGTCCCTGAAAAACATCAAGCAATAACTCCGACCATAAAATACGTGATACGGGATATCCTCATTCCTAAGCAATATCGACCGTGATACTATTTTGCAAAAGTGTTAGGTTGACTTTCCAGACTAAGCCTAAGCACTATTCGAATTCTACTTTCCAATAGGAATACGAATAAGGTTAATGCAAAATCAAATATATTAAGGTAAAAACATAAGTCTCGTAGAATAATTAAATACATGTCATTACATCGCATTAAGGACCACCCCCTAACAACTTGGGGGTTTAGCTACTCATGTTCTTGGTCAACATAAAAGTAATTAGAATTAAAAAGGAGAAGATCATTACAATTGAAATTGGGGGACTTGGATCATCAATTGCTTCCGCTCTTGATCGATCCTTTGTTCTTCCGAATTCTCCGGCTTCAGTTCTCTCCTCTCAATCCTAATCAAAAACGTGCCTCCTTTCTTTCCAAAATAAGGCTTAATATAACTCAATTCAAATTACATGATAAAATGTCTAAAATGTCCTTCAAAATGGCTTCAATAGTGAAAAATAATAAAAACAGCATTTTCCTCATCAGTGGCCCTGACACGGGCCGTGTTGTGTGACACGGGTGGCCGTGTCAGGCTGCTGTAACTCGAAACTGAGAAAAAAGCATCAGGGGCTGCAACACGGGCCGTGTTGTGTGACACGGGCACCCGTGTTGCTCTTCTGTTTCCAACTCTTCTTTTCTCCTTTTCACCCGTGTCCTCCTGGCCGTATCCCTCATGACACGGGCCGTGTTGTGCAACACGGGCACCCGTGTCATGCCTCTGACTTGTGCTTTTTCGGCTTTTCTTTGTCTTCGAAACAGTGCGGATGTCCGGCCACCGATTCCTGCCAAAAATACACTAAAAGAAACCAAATCAAACGCATCGGCGGCAAAAGCAATAAAGTTATTAAACTAAGACTCATGCGAAAACACTGCAAATAACTATGACAAAACAAACCAAAGACTAGAAAAAGAGATAAAACAATGCGAAACCAACGACAAACATAGTTTGGAAAACACAACTAAAATCCCCCGATCAGAAAGCTAACACGACACACACGTATATGTTTTCCACAATAAATTTACATTTCTATAAAATCGACAAAAAAAAAACATAAAATGTGAAAACAATAATATATATATACAACCCTGTTTCAAGAACTTCCCCTATGTACATTCTTGGACAGATAGGAAATTGAGTCTTTAGGTAGATTTTAGTTTTTATCATCAGAGTTTTGTCTGGCATGTCATACAACCCTGTTTCAAGAACTTCCCCTATTGTTCCCCCAAGTTTCTCACCCATCTGGGTTGTCTTGGCATTGGTGGGAAGACCCCATATTTGAACCCAGATTGAGGCTTTTGATAAATCCATCTTGTTTATTGCACATTTGTCATCCCACTCCTGCATGATTAACCATGAGTTTCTGAACAGCCATGGATTTCCTTTGGGGATTCTTTTGCGATCTTCCATTTTTTCCATAGTGAATTGGAATATATGAGGTTCAATATCTTGGACAAGTAAATGGATGGATATTACAAAACTCTATTAGAGAAAATAAACAAAACTAATTTAAACATTCAAAATAGTAAAGTAATACTATGTAAAATTGTTCCTTAACTTCTTATTATGTTTTTAGATATTTATTTGAGTTATTAATTAATTTATTATTTTGTACTCTAGTTATGAATTTATTATATATTATTTAAACAATTTTACTAAAAGATATCATTTGAAAACCCATTTAATTTCACAATTACAATTATAAAATTTAATTTCTACATTATTTTTTTATTTCATATAATAAATTTATAATAATATTTTTAATTAAATATATATTATTATGAAATCATTTAATTTTAATATAAATTCTATTTAATTAAAATAATATATCGTGACTATAATAAAAGTATTATTTAATTATAATAATATGTCGTTATTAAATATAAATCTAATTAATGCATCTTTCGTTTATTTATTTTTTAATGAATTTTTATTAATACTTACCTTTCAATTACAAAATTTTATACCTTATTTTAAAATATAATATAAATTTTTTTAAAATGTAATTTATCAATCCAAAAAAATGTTAAAAGTTTAAATTTCAATTTTATTTGTTTCAAATTGGTGGACCGTGCATAAATGGTTTTCTATACATTATGTATACTTCTTGATCAAAACAATTCTTTTGAGAAAAAAATTTAACCCAAAAACAAAATCAATATATTAGATATATGCATATAAAGTGAATTTAATTTAATTCTTTTTGATAATGCACTTAATATGATTAGAACTAATAAATGTAACCTATAAAATATCAAAAATATAAAAACTCTATCACATTCATGTTCATAAAAATGTGAATTTATTTTTTGTAGAGATTAGATTAAATATTTTATAAAAAAATAGCATATTAGACACTATGCACATATAAAAAGTGAATTGAATTTTTTTTTAATGAGAATGCATTAAACATTATTCTCTTAAATATTATTGTCTCTAATAATTATAATCTATAAAATATAAATAATATAAAAATTCATCATGTTAAACTCATCATAAAATGTGAATTTAATTTTTTTTAATAGAATACATTAAACATTTTTCTCCAAAATACAACTATCTCCCATAAAAAAAAAATTATAAATAACAATAAAATATAACAATTTTACATATTACTTCTATGTTATAAACACACTTTTTTTAGTTATTTATGTAATACATCATCTTTGTTATAAAACAAAATTTTAATTATAGTATAAACTTAATAAAAAACTAATGTTCAATGCCCATTGCAAGAGTATAGTCTAGTATTTTATAAAATCATTATGGCTTAAATACAATGTTTCAATATTCTATAAATTAATTAATCTATTTTTAAAATAAAAATTTAACACAATTTATAAATTTATCATGACTTAAATACAATGTTAGTTCTTCTAATATCTATTTTTTTTTTTCAAAATTAACTTTCACTTTTAAAAACTAATTCATACTTATCACTTACGAGTATTTTGGTCACCATTCATAGGATGTGGCACATTTTTTTTTATAGTAATTTAATATATATTATAAATTAATGTGATGTTTCCTTTCCAATAAAATGGGTTGGTTTGGTTATTGAATTTTAGATCAACAATTTATATTGTGATACATTTGCATAAAGTGAGTATCAATAATATTTTTATTGTATTAAATTAATATTATTGTGATTAATAATATTAGTTTTATTATATTAAAAAGTCAAATAAAACAAGTAACTAGAAGAATATTATTATTTATTGAATTAATATTATTTTTATTAGTAATAATTTTCTTCTAGTAAAAAATTTTTTAAATAATAACATAGATAGAAAAGTACAAAGAATTTAACGAAACAAAAAACAGAGAAAAATCTCCACAGTCACAACAAGTTCATGATCAGAGACAATTTTACCTCGTAAGTGTTCGTTTTCTCATCGTTTTTTCCTTAATTTCAACCATTCGATTCATAGGTTTTCGTATTTCAGTGTTGAATTATAACAATAGTGTATTTTTTGTGTGAAATTGTTGTTTTTTTTAATGATTTTACCATTTTACCCTGCAATTTCTTCAAATGGTTTATGAGCATGTTTTTTTGAATTATAAGATGTTCGTATGATTTCTGAACAGGTAATGATGGAAGAAGAAGAAGAAGGTGACCTAGGTAAAGATAATGATGTAACAAATGTTGAATTTCCAGTTTCAATTTCAGACCCAAAAGGGAAAAATGTTGTTATGAATTCTGAAACTGAGAACAATGGAATTGAAGATGAGGGGGATGTGGAAGTGGATATAATTGGGAGTTCTGGTTTCAAGGGTGTGGAGAATAGTTGTATGGATTTGGCTGTCGATGAGAGTTCGAGCTTCAGTTCTTTTGGCGACGCGTGTCCTGGTTCTGCATTAACTGATTCTGATGAGGCTGAATCGTCGATTCGTGATGAACGGAGTAAGGGTTTGCCTCGATTGAGGTATGTTTCGTAATGTATTGAAAATCGTACCAAACTAGAATTTGATGGTTGGGTCTCAGTTGAACCGAGATTGAACTGTTATCGGTTTAATTGGATTTGATTTTTTCCATTTATTTATTTATCGTACTTGTTAATATTGCTGAAGATAGACTTAGGTGGCTTGTGCGTGTAGAGAAAAGTGTAGAGAAAAGACCGGTAGATTTTGCGGTAAGGAGAGTAGATCAGATGGAGAGAAGTCAAACAACTAGAGGTAGAGGAAGAACCTAGAAAAACTATAGGAGAAGTTCTTAAGAAAGGCCTCGAGATTAACGATTTGAATAGTAGATGGACCTGGATAGAATATTATGGTGAAAGTTGATCCATGTAGCCGATCCCATTTAGTGGGATAAGCTTGGTTGTTGTTGTCAATCCTGCTGAACCGATTGAACAAATCGAAGTATGACCTGGAGGTCTCATCGGTTTGATCTGCTGGTCTGATTTTTATAACATTGATGTTTTAAGACTCAGTTTCAATTCTTCTATTTGAGTTTTTTTTTTTTTGAAGCATATACACCCTTAGTTTAGGTGTATCTCGTGTCCAACACGATTCGGACACGGACACTCCGAGCAACACATGTCAGACACCTCATTCAGGTGTCTGTCCAATTAAAAATGAACTGTTAATTTTGCTTCGACAAATCTCCGACACAGCCGGGGCACCGGTAACAGACACCTTTTTTAATGATGTATTATGCCTATCTTTTATGATTTTGCTGCTGCAGGATATAACGGGTGCATATATTTCTTTTTGAGTGCTTGTTTCTCTGCTTTTGATTGGTTGAGTTTTGCTTCTAACTTTGATTATGTGAATCACCAAATTTCACATGGTTTTGATCTTTTATATTATTCAATCTAATTATTATGTAATATCTATATGCGTCGATATCTTACATTTCGAACATTAGTGGTATCTACGTGTCTCTGTCCATGCTTGATAGGCCCTCGTGATTGAAGTTGTCTTAGATACATCATAAATGACATGTTTGTATCCATCCTCAAATTGCCTTGTGGTGGATGCTACACGTTTTTTATTAGGATTTCATCCGGTTGCATGTTCTAACTTTTACACGGTTAACTATTCAGAAAGAGAAAAATGACTGATCATTGGAAGAAGTTCATCTTTCCTATAAAGCAGAGATGTAAATGGTTAGAGATTCAACTGAGGAAACTTAACTCTCAAGCAAAGAAATACGAAGAAGCAATTGCGGCATATGATCAACAAAAACAACTTCGGTTTTTGATTCCTGCGGGAGATGATTTTAATATCAAGTCACTACCTAAAATTGATGGAATTCAAAGAAATGAAGTCATGATGAGAAAGAAAAGAAAGAGAGTTGAAGAATGTGATTTATCATCATATATGTCTAACCATTGTTTATTCTCTTACTATGGTATGACGATAATCGGTTTGTTGTAGTTTTTTTTTTGCTGACGTATTTCTCTGATAATAATCAATTTTTTTCTGCCATTGTCCAGAGAATAAGAACCGAGATCATGATGTTCCCGTGGAAGATTCTCGTAATGATGTCATGAGTAAGTAGAGCAATATATATGTTTTTGCATTCCATGACATTCAAATCTTTTAATCCTAATTTTTGTTTCATTGATATGAGAAGGTGATGTTGATAATGCTGAGGAGTTCAAGTTGAATGAAACGCGGTCTTCTGTAGATCATCGTAAAGAAACTGATAAATCCTTCCTTGAGTTCATTGAAAAGATTGAAGAGTTGTCTTCACAAGTTGTGAACTTGAAAACTCGGATTAATACCGTGATAAATGAAAATCCAGGAAAGTTCAGTTCTATAACTCAATCGAACACAATTGGGCCGTCTCAACATAACTCTGAGCTATGCGCAGAAGATCAACCTATGACGGATAATCCGTTATTATCTTGTGAAGGTATAACTCCTTCCATCGAAGCTGCCAATACGACTCAGTTTGAGGTTCCAGGGGAATCCAAGGAATTAGTTGAGGAGCAAAAACCTATTTCTCCAGTTCAAGCTTCGGACTCTGTTAAACCGTGTTCAACATCAAGGTCACCTTTCCCGAAGAACACGAGGACGGTAAGGAAGAGATCTGGCAAGTAGAGTGTTAGCAGGAGATGATTGGTGGCACTGTATATACAATGGTTGTTTCTTCAAGAGCTTGTGGATGCTATGAGTTCAAGAAATGAGTTCATTTTATACTATGTGAATATGAAGAACATGTTCTTTCTTCAAGGATGCTGTTATTTTTATTTTTCAGAGAAATTTTTTTTAGAGTATTGTTTCTTAATGTACTTGGGGATTATTACTTCAATAATTGAATGAATACTTTATTTTTTATTCTCTGCATCAACATCATCATCATTGGTTAGAGTTCCCCCCATCAATTATACTCATTTTAATCGAAATGCTTAAGATGATGAACTGAATTTCAATAATCTGGTTTGCACTGTGATCTCCAGATTCCATGAGTTCTGGTCAAGTCTTTATTTTATTTTCATTAATTAAAGGAATTTCACTGACTGATCTTTACAATCTCAAATGCTAAAACGAGGATTTACTCATTCATTCACTGACTGATCTTTACAATCTCAAATGCTAAAATGAGGATTTACTCATTAATTCAGGTATGCAGATAATGTATTCTATAGCATATCAACTTATCAGAAACAGTACCTTACTAGTAATATATTTAATTCATTTTCTAAAGAACTTTTGGTGTATCATGTAAGAATAAGTTGTGAAGCTGAGTTGTTAATTGGCTCAACAGAAAGTACACAGTGGTCTTATGGATAACTTACATACAATTTCTAAACAGCTAATTGGAACTCTTTAGTTGACAGACCAGTTAAATATTACACAGTAACTTCCTTATAGGCAAAAAAAAAAAAAACAAGGATTACATAAGTAATAACATTCATTCATCAATTGAGACTTTTCAATTAGTAAATGGCCAGAACAACAACTATACTTTGTGGCCTATGCCTAGAATAATCGAAACACAAAAGGAACTCATTTTCTACATCATCAATGACAAAGTTGCCCCATCAATCATACTCACTTTTGACGAAATGCTCAAGACAGTGAACTAAATTCTAATAATGTGTTTTGCGCTGTGATCTTCATGTTCCATGAGTTCTTATGAGGTCTTTTGCAGCTGCAAAGCCTATTCAAGATTCCATAATCGACAAAGTACTTTTCAGCTGTCTCCTCAAACTTCTTAAGGGAATTAGAGTGAACTCCACCAGATGTTAGATACATGATTTGATAATGCATCCATTTCTTTGGTGGTGTCATGAAATTTATCTGGACAGCATCTTATGCTCATTTAAGTCAGTCTTTCAAAACAATTCTATTTATCCAGCTGGAGATTTTTTTGTCTTGTGAGAGGCTGCGAGTACAACAACGACACTCTATTACCCATCCTCATCAACCTTGCTCTTTAACTGCAATCTAAACATGTTTTGAAAGAGATACAGAGCTAGACATGTTTTCCATCTTTTCAAAATTTAACTTCGTTTTAACCTCTCTCTTTCAGCTTTTGCGTCTTTCAAATTTCAATAAACTGTTTCAACTTTCATATGCTTCCATAGCTGTCCCAATGTTGACTGAATAGCTTCCAGATGCGAATGCGAATGCAAGTAATAACCTGCCACAAACTCTCTAAATCTACCATCAACCTCAATAACACTCCAAGCAACCTCTTTATTTGATCCTTTTTTCTTCATCATTTGTTTAACATCCTCCACATCTGCCCATCGTCGTTCTGTAGCATACAGATTTCTCAACATCACATAGTCTCCAGCACCTTCCTTCTCCAATTTCACCGCCTCTTTAAGCACTCTTTCAGCCCTCGAAACATCTTCGAAGTAACAACAAGCAAACAGAAATGAAGTCAATATTATCTCATTAGCATCATAAGGCATGGCCTGAATCAATCTTTCAGCCTCATCCAAACATCCAGCCCTTCCTAGAAGATCAACCATACAACCATAATGCTCAATCTGAGGCCCAATTCCAAATCTCTCCATTGCCTTGAAGCATCTTCTTCCTTCCTCTACCAAACCACAATGGTTGCAAGCAGATAACACAGTAGTCATAGTTATCTCATTTGGTTCAAATCCTTCCCGTAACATAACATCAAACACCTCCAACGCCTCCTTTGCACATCCATTAACTCCATAACCGTTTATCAAAGCATTCCAAGAACCTGTATCTTTCTCCGCCATCTCTTCAAAAACCGATTTCGCTTTTCCAATTTCCCCACATTTTGCATACATATCAACCAACGCATTACACACATGAATAGATCCATCAAGCTGCTTCCTTTTTACAAACCCATAAACCCAATCACCCAAATCCAAAGCACTCAAATCAGCAACAGCAGGAAGAACACTCACAACAGTCACTTCATTCATTTCCACATCCACATTCCCCCTCATTTCACAAAACAACTTCAACGCATCATGCGGTCGTCTATTCCGACAATACCCCCTAATCATCGCATTCCAACTCATCACATTCTTCTCCGGCATACAATCAAACAAAAACCTAGCAGAATCAACATCCCCATCCTCACAATAACCATGAACCATACTAGTCCAAGAAATAACATTCCTATCCCCCATCTCATCAAACAACTCCCTCGCCAAATCCATACACCCCATCTTCACATACCCATCAATCAACACATTAAAAACAGCAACATCTCTCTCCGGCATAACATCAAAAAGCTTCCTCGCCTCACTCATATCACCACCCCTACAATACCCAACAATAACCGCAGTCCATGAAACCAAACTCCTCACAAACATTTCATCAAACACCTTCCTCGCACAACCCACATCACCAAATTTCACATACATATCAATCAAACTAGTCCCCACATACAAATCAAAACAAAACCCATTCTTCAAAACAACTCCATGAACCTCCAAACCTTCCTTCACACGGTTACAAACCGCACAACCCTTTAAAACAGAAGTAAATGCATAAGTGTTTTGTATAAAAAAATCGTCTCTACAAAACTCCCTGTAGAGAGTAAAAGACTCGTCAAATTGACGAATGGATAAATGGGAATTAATAATAGTGTTGCAGAGAAACTCGTCGCGGTTATGGGTTGAAGTGTGGTCGAAGAAACGACGAGCGTGTTGAACTATTTTAACAGCGTCGTTTTTGCGAGAGGTGGAAGAGGCGAGGGAAGTGCAAGATGAGATGAACTTGGTGAGGAGATTGAGATTGTTGTGGAGAGAGTGTCGAAGAATGAAAGCGTGGATTTGAAGGAGTGTTGTGAAGGTTTTGGTTTTTGGTTGAAGTAGGTGTAAGCATTTTCTTTCGGTGAGAGTCCATAGTGTTCGTTGTGCCTCATTTCGCATTGTTTTTTGTTTCTTAGCTTGGGAATTTTTCACATCGCCGTCACAAATTGTTGTCTTCTATATAAGAGTTTTAGCAGTCAGGATCCGAATTTTGACAGAGCTGCAGAGAAAAGGGTGCAGGGGAGGCAGTTGGACTGTCATGTACAAAGGGAGGAGGAGGGGGTGAGGTATTATCTTGTGGATCAATGTGTGCAGTAGAGGCAGGGATAAAGGGAGGGTGAGGGAGAGGAAGTAACAGTTTTGAAAGTTTTGAAAGGAAAGAAGGACTCATAGAAAATAACATTTTTGGAAACAAAATTGTCATGACTAGATAAGTTATATAATATGAATCCTTTAATTTCTTCTTTTTATATTCAAGAAATATGGATTTTCTAGCTCTACAATCAAATTTGGTCATATGGGCTTAGGTGGAAGTAACATAACACAAGCAATCAAACACCTTTAAATATATATAAGATGTGGTGTGTTTGAAGAGAAGCTCATACGGATTGTGGGATTTTAAGAGGGGTGATGACAACCTATTGATTATTTGAATGACATGTTGCACACAATAATTCCACATAGACAAAGGAACATTAGAGTGGAAATGAAGAGACCTGACCACATTTAGAATGTGTTAGTGTTTTCTTTCCATCACACCATTCTGCTGTGGAGTCTTAAGGCAAGATTTTTGGTGAAGGATATCCTTGAATGAAAGGAAAGGTGCTAAGATTAAAAACTCAGTACCATTGTCAGATCTGAGGCACTTAAGAGTGGGTATTAAATTGGTTTTCAATAAAGGCAACAAAGTGGATAATGCTACTTTTGGTTTGGTCTTTGGTTTTGAGGAAGATCACCCATGTGTATCTACTAAAATCATCCACTAATGTTTAAAAAAATATATTTGTCCTAAAAGTGAAATTGTAGAATAAGGAGCCCATAAATCAGCATGCAACAATTCAAAAGGGGCAATAGTATGAATATTACTAGAAGGGAAAGAAATCATTTTTTATTTTGCATTATGGCATGAGTCACAGGGTGCCAAAGTAGGCTTACAAGGAATGAAATGAAAAAGCTTAAAACCAATTTTTAAACCTATATCAGATATGTGGCCTAACTTGAAGTGCCAAAGTTCATATGAATTACTATCAATAGAATTACAAATAGAGGTTTGCCTAGAGGATGCAAAGATGTAAAGACCTTTCTGCAAGTTAGTTATACCAATCAGTCTCTTGGAGGTGTTATGTAGAATATGACATGTATTAGCAAAAAAGGATAAATGGAAATTAAGATCATTAATAAGTTTTTCTACAAATACTAGATTGCCATTAAATGAAAAAATGTAAAGGACATTATGGAAGATAAGGGAGGGAATGATGGCTATGCTACCAGATATGGCAACAGTGATGTTAGTACCATTAGGAAAAGTAACAAAAACAGGTTTAATGTGTTGGTGTGTGATAAAAGAGTCAAGGTGATATGTGATATGGTATGTGGCACTCGTGTTAAGAATCCAAGATATTGAATGATTACTAGTGTCAGGAGAAGAGTTGGTGTTCATAGCCAAAGGTGTGTCGGTGATGGAATATGTGATAGGGTGGGTTCTTGACTGTTGAAGAAGCTCTAAAATGTTGTTGTACTGCTCTTGCGTGAAACCAAAACTTGAATTTGTTGAACCTGCCGAAGGAGTGTCACAAACAATGTTGGCAGAGAAATTGGATTGTGACTTGTTCTTGAACCTAGGTGGATAACCATGCTTAACAAAACATGTACCAGTCGTGTGGTTAGTGCGCCCACAATGTGTAAAGACTCTGTTGGGTCTGGAGGAAGGAGGTTTGCCTTTGGAATTAGGGTGACATGGGGGAAGGAGGTTTGCCTTTGGAATTAGGGTGACATGGGGGAAGGAGGTTTGCCTTTGGAATTAGGGTGACATGAGTTGTTCCCGCCATTGTATTGGGTGGAGTTGATCTGAGATGTAGTCGTCGGAGCACTGGCATCATTAGAAGGCAAATCAAGATAAGAGGTGGGATTGAGTTCGCGTTCCTGTTGAATCACAATAGAAAAGAGAGATCGATAGTGGGAAAGGGTGTCATCATCATGATCTGAGACTTGGAAGACGGAAAATTTCCATTCAAACCTTTCAAGAAATGAACTGCATAATCTTCATCGCGATGCTTCTTGATAGCAGAAATGGCTCAACACGTACAGGGAATGGCACAATAACAAGATAAAGTTGGCCGATAGGATTCCAACTCATCCCAAAACACTTTCAATTGAGTGAAGTAATCAGAGATAGATATAGTACCTTGCCGAAATTCGTATAAATCTTCTTGAATGTCAGAGATACAAAAAATATTGCTCTGAGCAAATCGTGTGCGAAGATTTGTCCAAACACCAGAGGGAGTTTGAATCCAAAAAACTGATTTGGAAATGGACTCAGAGATGGAATGAAAGAGCCACACAAGAACCATGGTATTGCAGCTGGTCCAAGGTGCATGGAGTGGATATGCAAGCAATGGTTTGGGTAAAGAACCATCGATGAACTGGTGTTTGTTCTTGGAGATGAGAGTAATTTCCATAGATCTCGACCAAGAGTAATAATTCTTGGCATCAAGAAGAGGGGAAACAAGAATGAGAGTTGGATTCTTATTTGGGTGAAGGTAATAGAGGTTTGTAGAATTTTTTATAAAATCAAAGTAATTCGCAACAGCCATTGTTGAATGAGAAGAGAAGGAAGCAAGGATGAAGCAACAAAATAATGGCTACCAAAGCATATAGCTCATGATACCATGTTGAGATACAAAGCAGAGAAGTGAAAAAGGAGATAATTGCTCCATTGTAGTAACTTTTGATATTCTGTTTACATTGTACAAGAGAAGAAGAAGCTAAATATACACATCTAACTTCTAACTAAGCAACAAATTTACAGTTATATTTACCAACTGTACAACAAACTAACAACATACAAAAGAAGCCAAATGGCCCAGGAAAAAATAAGAAAGCCCAATAACAGAAAATAGCCCAATATAGTTTACATTAACCCACACGACAACAACCAGAGAAAGACTACTCGACTCAATGGACAAATAACACAACAGAGAACCAAGATTAGAATTCTAGAAGACCAATCTCACCCGACCATGCAACACCTGGATTGAAAAACTGACAACACTCCACAACCACCACCAAATTACACACAACTCCACATGAGAGAAACCTGACTACTAAGCCTTATAACTCAGTGATGCCCAGGAAAACCCTAGGATTCACACTCCATTGTTAACTATTTTATATAAAATATATGTCATGGATTCTAGTCTTTTAACTTTATTTTTTAGTGGGAAAAAATCTAAAATTTTGTGATGGAGTAGAAAAATAAAATATAGTTTGTTTTTTACATCTACTACACTATATTATGTTATTAGCTTAGTGATAATTAAATCTAAAACTTTGGGATGGTTAAGAAAAATATTGAATATTTTTAGATGTAATATACCATAAGTCAATGTGAATACGATGAATATAAACAATATTGAGCTTGATTATTTAATTTTAATTGTTATGCATATGTATAAATTATGGGTCATTCATTTCTAGTCTCTTAACTTAGTTTCTTAGAGGTGAAGAAACCAAAATTTTTGTGATGGAGAAGAAGAATAATATAAAAATTGTTTATATTTATTATACCATAATACAATGTGATTATACTTAATACAAATAACATTGATTTTAAATATTTAATTTTAGTGATTACCCATGTAGATATAATTTATTTGTCATTCACTTACAGTCTTTTAACTCTATGGCTTAGTGGCGAAGAAACATGAAATTTGGTGATGGAGAAGAAACATATTGAATATATTTATATCTAATTTACCATAATTCAGTGTGAAATTGGTAAATATCAATAAATTCTAGCTTAATTATTTATTTTAATTATTACCTATTTTATATAAAATATATGTCATGGATTATAGTCTTTTAACTTTGTCTTTTAGTGGGTAAAACCTTAAATTTTGTGATCGAGTAGAAAATTAAAATATAATTAATTTTTTACATCTACTATAGTCTATTATGTTTTTAGCTTAGTGACAAAAAAATCTAAAACTTTGGGATGGTGAAGAAAAATATTGAATATTTTTAGATGTAATATACCATAAGTCAATGTGAATACGATGAATATAAATAATATTGAGCTTGGTTATTTAATTTTAATTGTTATGGATATGTATAAATTACGTGTCACTCATTTGTTGTCTCTTAACTAAGTTTCTTAGAGGTGAAGAAACCAATATTTTGGTGATGGAGAATAAGAAAAATATAGAACTTGTTTATATCTATTATACCATAATACAACGTGATTATAGTGAATATAAATAACATTGAGCTTAAATACTAAATTTTAATGATTACCCATGTAGACATAATTTATTTGACATTCATTTACAGTCTTTTAACTCTTTGGCTTAGTGACGAAGAAACATGAAATTTGGTGACGGAGAACAAACATATTGAATATATTTACATCTAACTTACCATAACTGAATGTGAAAATGGTAAACATCAATAAATTCTAAATTGATTATTTATTATAATTATTACCTATTTTTTATAAAAAAATATGTCATAAATTATAGTTTTTTAACTTTGTTTTTTAGTGGGGAAAACCTAAAATTTTGTGATGGAGTAGAAAAATAAAATATAATTAATTTTTTACATCTACTAAAGTCTACTATGTTTTTAGCTTAGTGATAAATAAATCTAAAACGTTGGGATGGTGAAGAAAAATATTGAATATTTTTAGATGTAATATACCATAAGTCAATGTGAATACGATGAATATAAACAATGTTGAGCTTGATTATTTAATTTTAATTGAAATGCATATGTATAAATTATCGACCACTCATTTGTAGTCGCTTAACTTAATTTCTTAGAGGTGAAGAAACCAAAATTTTGGTGATGGAGAAGAAGACAAATATAGAAATTGTTTACATCTATTATACCATAATACAATGTGA